AAGGGCTATATTAGACATGAAATTCAAGTTCAACACAATGTACATGACCACTTTATGAAAGCATATGATTTTAGCCACAATTGAGAATTAATTGGTAATAAGGGAAACCTGATAAAAGAATGAAAGATACAAAGAAACATGAGGGAATTTCAGAGGGTGCTGAAACCATTCTGTATCTTGACAGTGATAATGTCATGTTTGTTTGGGGGGGGGTTGTTTGTTTGTTTTTTTTAGATCATTTTATTGGGGCTCGTACAACTCTTATCACAATCCACACATGCATCCATTGTGTCAAGCACATTTGTACATTTGTTGACATCATCATTCTCAAAACATTTGCTTTCTACTTTGCTATCAGCTCCTCACATTTGTTTTGTCAAGAGCCACAGGACTATACCCTAGAAGGATAATTGCTACTGCTTATTAAATGGACAAAACTTTAATTTAATTAAAAAAGTATAGGGCACAACTTGATTCTATTTTAAAAATGAGTTTATTTTCATAGAGATACAAATATATCTAAAGTAATGACTTTCAAGGAGAAAACCCAAAGCAATGAACACACAAAGCCATTACTATTATATAACCATTAAAATAACAACTATGTGTGTACCAGGAAACACATATTAAAATATTCATGGTGGCAATGTCCATCATAACAGAAGTAAACTGGAAACTATTCAAATGTCCATCAAATGAGAGGGAATAAACTACTGGATTTCCAAATAATTAATAGCAGACTAAAAGCATACTGGTATAAAACCAGTAGCCACATGCTGCAGTATGAATGAAGCTCAAAATTATGTAAAAACTACATAATTAAGTATACTGTAATTATATACTAAGTTCAGCAACAAGCAAAATTAAATGTATTTAAAACCATAAAGAAAAGCAAAAGGATACTAAATGTAAAATTTAGTGCCAATTTACTCAAGTACCAATGTACTGGTTGGTAATGGTTTATTTCTAAGTTGGGTGGCAAGTTTTATTATTATATATAACTGTCAGCTCTATCCTTCATAACTTGCACGTAGGCAGTATTTTGTAATCTTCATGCAAAATTTGAAAGTCTTTTTTTGCAACTAAGGAGAAATCTTCACTAGACATAATATAAAACAATAAAAAAGAAGAAAAGTATTAAAGTGTTCAATAAATACGGACAGCGACTAAAAAATACATCTGAACACACACACACCCTCAAAAAGAAGGTAAGCTTTACGTTTAAGGAAGGAGGCGGTAACCACAGTAAAGATCCAGGAGAATAACACTTCCTTCTTTTTTATGACCACTTAAGAGTGAGAATCACCTCCACGGTAGTGGCTTGGTTTTGATTTATGATCATTCTCCTCACTAGTCACATACCCCCAAATCCTTCAAGTGGCAAACCCAAAAGTTTATCTTGTGAGAAGGTTGTAAAGAAAGTGTATCCTTAGACCAGAGGTGAGCTAAAACAAGGAAGTAAAGAGGGTCATCAAACTCAAAGTGTAAAGAGGTAGGAGTCTGTTCAAATGGGAGTACTCCAAAAGAAGAAAAAAGTAGAGAAGTGAGAGAGACTTACTGGTCGGTACAGAAGACAGGAGTTGGAAGCATAAAACATTAGGGAACAACTTTCTGGGGAGAGGAGGTGGGTGAGTGGATTCTCCTTTTTGTGTGGTAACTTAAGTTTTATGGTGATGAGACATACAAATGACACCCCATTTTGGCATCATCATTAATTGATAGCATCAGTATCCTAAAGGTGTAAGAAGAAAGGACTAACGAAGTAAAACCTTTCATGATCTCCAACGGGTGGGCAAAATACGTGAGGGTCTCTCTGAAGTAAATTCTTAAGTTAAATTAAGACTATAAATGAAAATTTAGTATCTTTCACCTTACCGCAATCTTCAAGTCGAACCGGTTCTTTCACTTTCAAAATAAGGGTCTCAACCTATTGCATCTGGCAATTTTCTGAAGTTACATTGACTCAATGCCCGGCACTTCAAAGGAAGGATGAGCACTTGCATCTCCCGCAAACCGAACAATAAAAACCCTTGCTGTTAAATGGATTCTGACTCATGGTCACTCGCCTGTACAGACAGAACTGTTCCGCAAGGTTTTCTTGGTGCTATCTTACAGAAGCAGTGTTTGAACCAAAAACTTTGGGCTGGTAGTTAAGAGCAAACCAATTTGCATCCCCTAGAGCCCACATGAGGGCATGGTGGTTATGCGTTGGTTGGGCTGCAAACTTCAAGTCCAAAGTTCGAAACCACCAGTCACTGCAGAAGAAAATAAGATGAGGCTCAAAAACTCACAGATACAGTTCTACCCATGTCCTACAGGGTTGCTATGAGTCAGAATTGACTTGATGGCAGTGGGTGAGTGAGGGCACTTACAAAGGAGCCTTGGTGCTGTAGCGGGTTACGAGTCGGGCTGCTAGCTGCAAAGTCCTCTGCTTGCTCCCTGGGAGACAGACGAGGCTTTCTACTTCCATAGAGTGGGTCTCAGAAATCCGCAGGGCAGTTCTACCCTGTCCTACCAGGGTCACTATAAGAAAGAGTCAACTCCATCGCAGTACGTTTGGTTTTGTTTGGTTGGTTTTGTTTGGTTTAGGGTCCTCCCTACAAAGAACCAAATAACTGATGATAGTAATGAAGGTACCATCGTCAGCTTCCTTAGCTACTGGTCTCTACTAAATCAGAAGCTACTGCAGACTGATGCTGTATCAAAACAGATGTACCAGTAACTATGTCTCTAATATATGAGGCACTGTTTACAGAAATACCTACTGGTATCTAAAAGTAATTTGATATGAGCTCTGCTCTGCTAATACAAACAAGATATGAGATTGAGGGCACTCTGGTGGCACAATGGATTCAGCATTGGGCTGCAAACCAGAAAGTTAGTGGCTTAAAGCCAGCAGCGGAGTCATAAGATAAAGATGAAGCAGTCTGTTTGGGACAGCCGTTTTAATTACAGGGTCACTACAGGTGAGAATAGACTCAATGACAGTGGGTTGGGTCAGGGCTGAATTTAGATATAGGTGATCTGGACACCTCAATGAATTTTCACAGAGCCTACTTCATCTAGAAAACCATCAATGCTGAGTTTGAGTGTGAAAAGCAAAAGGATATGCATGCAAAGCACTAAGCCTAGAACCTGAAATGGGTTCCAACAAGAAATACCAGTTAGCAGAGGCCAGGATCAACTACAACAGCTATTCCCAGATATTATACATCTTCAACTTAACATATCGCAAAGCACCTTCCTTTCAGAACTGGTTCCAGGCAACTGGTCACTCCACAAAACAGAAAACGAGCTGGCTCTGTCCCAAAATTCCCAGCCTCCATCTATCTCAGGTTAATAAACACAAGTATAAACACAGGCCTTGGCACACAACTCTAACAACCTGTCAATCTGTTTCTTATGTGATAGTAGTTAACAGAGCTTCTATTCAGAAAACACACTTTGCTGGGTGATTCAAATTTGACATCTAATAATGTATGTGGGTAGATCACAGTAATGCTGCTAAAAACCTATTAACAGCTCAATCCACTCACTCAGTCTTGGATTTTGCTTTTCAAAACGTAACCACAATTTACCCAAAGTCCCAGAAGGCAAGTAACTAGGTTTTTCCCTCCGAAATAAACATTATTGCCAAGCTCAAAGTGCTAAGCAAGGAAGCCATGATTATTTTTTAAAATGTATCACATGCTTCCATTTTTCCTCTCCTACACGATTTCACATATTCTTTTTCTTCTGCTGTGCTATAGAACTTGTCATAAAAAGATAATTAAGAGCAAAAGATGAAACATGAGAACATCAGGTGTTCAAACAATAAACAGCAGCAACTCAAGAGAAGACACATATTCTTCAGAATAGCAGGCTAAAATACAACCTCTATTTAAAGAAGTCCTCTAAGAAGGATACGCATTCCCACATACAGTAGAAAATAAGATACTAGGATTTTTGTTTCAAGCCTTCCTAGAAATCACCTTGACTGTCTCTGTGACCTTCAGCACTAAGGAGGGAAAGGGTAAATGTATAAGAACCTGGAAGAAAGCTTTGAAGTGAGCATCCTCTTGAACGGTAGTGTTCTGATCACTTGGGAGGAGAGGGAACAGGCTCTGAAGTCTCACCCTTTCACAAATCACCTTGTTAGGATGGCCAGGTAGAGGTGCTGAATTGGCCCCGGGAGAAATCTGGGAAAAAGAGGAAGAAGAAAAGGATAGTTCATGGCTAGCCGCACCAATGTGGAGTCATGACTATGAAAGATAGTCCAGGTTTTCTAGGTATGGGTGAATTCTGTTAAACCTAAAAACAACGGGTGGCAAAGGTTGGTTCTGGCAATGGAACACTCTTAAAACAACGTTTTCAGGCCAAACAGCACTGTTCAAGAACCCAAGAGCTTCCTGTTTGCCAGGTAACTGGTACCTATTGATACCTTTCTTGGTGGTGGCAAAGCTGAAATCCTAAGAAACAGGTTTCACATTAGGAAAATCCAAAATAAACCCGTGTATCATAAGTACAAAAAGATTAGTGTCTGCCTTGACTAAGATGAACAGCTTTTCTTAATCTATTTTTTAGTTAACTTTCCAAATAGTCATGCCAAAGAAAGATGACAAGCAAATTTCAATAGCAATCACAGGTTTGAAAAACTGAAGAGTTTGCCTGATTTTCCTAAGGAATAAAAAGGCAAGATCATAAGCCCCAAAGTAAGTGATTGCATGTTTTTAATGCTTGACTTGACTGTGGGTTAATCACCTTAAGCCCAAATGTAAAACTGCTACGTAAATGTACTTAATCTGTGCGTTTTTAATGACTTCGTTACCATCATGAACATCACCTATTCTGTGCTGAGGGAACTACTCCTTGGGGGGTAAGGTTTGTAGACTTGCTTGACTCTACACTGAGGACTCCAGATCATGTCCTCTGAGGCTGTCAGAATTGCAATGCTTTGTCCATTTACTCAGTTACACATCAATGCGTCCACCAGGTAACAGGAACCTGGTAGAAACCGAAAAGACAGATATAGTTTCCTACCTTCAAGTGTATACTACACAAAGTAAATCAATGTGTGAGTACTAGGGTACAAACAGACACTGGGGGTGCTATGGAGAAGTAATTGGCAAGAGCTGTGTAGTCAGTAACCCCAAATATTCCGTATGGCTGGACATACTAAAGGAAGGAAGTAGCCAGAAGTAGGTAGAGACCAGACTGTGAGATGCTCATGATGCTACTATCCCCTAGTCCCTTCTGTAATTTTTTTGTTTCTGGTTTGCTTTCACTGCCACTGAGTTCATTCACCAGACTGTTGAACTCCTTTAGGGAGTGGAATGCCTTGTCTTACTCCAAGGAGCAGCTGGTGGTTTTGAACTGCTGACTTTGTGGTGAACAACCCATTGCACAAGTAACCTGCTACCCCACAAGGGCTTTGAGCCAAGTAAACAAACAAATTGCATGCCTCTCTTGGTAGGAGTAAAGGAGAATCACATGGGGAAAGGCACTTAAAAATGTATTCCTCTTAGGAAAGACGGTAAAACCTGGCTGCCATCCTCAAGAAGCTTATTCTAGTAGTAAAACAAACACAAACAGCCAACTCCAGGACAATGTTTCAATGCCAGCATCTAGGCACAAATTAGAACACAGGCAAGAGCTTTGTATCTGAAAGTGGACTAAATCAAGAAGGGGGTATTTCACGTCCCTGGCACCTCACTAATCTAAGTTCTTTCACCACTTGAAAGCAATCCTCTGCTCCGCAAAATGATCTGCTTTTCTATATTCCCAAACCCCAACCTTATGTAAGGTCGCCAAGTTTGTAAATCTTTCTGAAAGCAGATAGCCTCATCTATCTCCTGGTTTCACTATACAGGTTTAACATTCGTTTTTTTCCACACTGCAGTTTGCAGTTGATATCTTTGCCGTCGCCATCTGTCTTCAAACTACCATGGCCACAGCATACAATTTGAGTAGCAGTCTTAAAAACCAATGAGTACAGTAAGTTGGCTTGAAAAAAAAGAAGTCGAGTCCAGCTTCTCCTCCTTTGTTTTTCAATCTTTTGTAAAAATATGTTTGCCATAAAAGGCCACGCGTATTTTCAAGCATATCCTCTAACCAACAATGCCCTTTGATCAAAAGCTCCGTTTGTCTATAAAAGGGGAGGGGGAAAACAATAGAGAAAAGCTATATTCAAACCATGTAGTTTATATACCTCTCAGGCAAAACGATAGGTAGGCTTGATCAAAACCAGGTGTCCCCCACTGGGTAAGATAAAATTTTATACAGGCCAAAAAAAACAGTCTCTATCTTGAGAGCCGCTTTCACCAGGCTGCGTCCAAGCCTCCGCTGCAGACGCTGAAAGAAACCTAACTGCAGCCATGAGCAGTACAGAATGCTTCCAGTGTGAGCGATCTGGTCACTGGGCCCGGGAATGCCCTACTGGAGGAGGCCATGGTCATGGAATGAGAAGCCGTAGCAGAGGAAGCCGCAGCAGAGGTTTCCGGTTTGTTTCCTCGTCTCTTCCAGACATCTGTTGTCGTGATGAATCTGGTCATCTTGCCAAGGATTGTGATCTTCAGGAGGATGCCTGCTCTAACTGCGGTAGAGGTGGTCACCTTGCCAAGGACTGCAAGGAGCCCAAGAGAGACAGAGAGCAGTGTTGCTACAACTGTGAAAAACCAGGCCATCTGGCTCCTGGCTGTGACCATGCTGGTGAGCTGAAGTGCTACTCTTGTGGAGAATTTGAACACATTCAAAAAGACTGCACCAAAGTGAAGTGTTACAGGTGTGCTGAAACGAGTCATGTAGCCATCAACTGCAGCAAGGCAAGCGAAGTCAACTGCTACCGCTGTGGCGAATCAGGGCGCCTTGCACGGGAATGCACAAGTGAGGCTACCGCTTCATTGTTTTCCTTTGTCACCCCTCCTTTTTGATTCATGGTTGTATTCTTTTCTCTAAATCCTCTTCACTGGCCAAAGGTTGGCAGACAGAGGCTACTCCCAGGCCAGTGAGCTTTACTTGCCATGTAAAAGGAGGAAAGGGGTGGGGGAAGAATCAACTTTCTGCATTTAACTACAAAAAAAGTTTATGTTTAGTTTGGTACAGGTGTTATGCATAATGCTTTGTTAAAGAATCCCCTTTCCATGCCACTGGTGAATAAGGGATTAATGAATGGGGAAAGAGACCATCAGGCTCATTCTGGGTCTCTTGAGATGTTCCCATGTAAGAGCTAAAAGCAATTATGGAAGTGTCCATGAACTTCTGTAAATAACTTTAATTTTAGCATCATGATGGCCTTGGGATTGTCTGACCTCAGTAGCTACAACATCAAGTCAGGCTCTACATAGAACATAGTTTTGTGGGAGCAAACAAAGAAAAACATGACTATGCGAGAGAGAACTCAGGATAAAAGTCTAAACAGGAACAACTTCATCACAGAGTTGATGCTGAGTAATCATATACATGGTGATGGCAAAGGTTTAGAACATATTTTTTTCTCAAAGACTTAAATCTAAAGACCAGAATAAACATCGATACTCAGAGTTGGCATAATTTGGAGCTTGTTCAGGAATTGCAAAGAAATACATTTTCAGAAATCAAGATTTTTGAATACTGTATCACTTAGACAACTGTTTCATTTACAGTAATCAATTTTTAAAAGTCAGATGGAAAAAGCTACTGAAGTCCTACTAAATAGAAATGTAATTTTAAACTATCCAATAAAGCTGGATGAAGGGGAGTTTGACTAAAAAACAACAACAAAAATCTCAGCGAGACCATTTTGAGTATAAGTATGTGGTGGAGTACAATGTAGGAGGAATTCTAAGGCAGCCCCCAAAGCCCCAGGCCGTGGTGTACACCAAGGTGTCATCCCCTCTCCTCGAGCATGGGTGGGGCTCTGAATTGTCATTATCATGACTGGATTAAATTATGACTAAGGTGAAAAGATTTTTCAGATTTGACCGATTCTACATCAGGGAATTCTTTTTTAAATTTAAATTTATTTATTATTAATCGGGAGTTACTACATATCTCATACCACAATCAGTTTCCAAACATTCCTTTTCTTCCTGTAGTCAAAAATGGAGAACCCCTGGGGTGACCCTGACTTACTCAGAGAAAGTTCATTAAACAAAAGACTGTAAAGGCCTGCCTGAAGAGATCCTTTTGGCATCTCTGAAGATGTGCTGAGAAGGCATATGGAAGAGCAGGTGACAGGGGCCTGAGAGCAGTCACCAGCTCGCAAAAAATGGCTATCAGGCCTACAACGTTAAGAGTCATATTCTGCCAACAACCAGTGAGCCTGGAAGAAGACTGCATCTCAGAAGAAACCACAGCTTCAGCCAAGACTCTCACATAGAACTCAAAACAACTGTATTCACACCCACTGTCACCAAGTCAATTCTGACTCACAGTCACCCCCTATAGGGTTTCCCGAGCTTCTGTGAATCTATATGACAGACAGCAGCCAGCCCCACCTTTCTCCTGTGGAGTGGCTGGGGGTGTGGACCAGCCAACTTTTTAGTTAGCAGCCCAACAACAGACAGCACCAACAGGCTTCTTTACACTGTATCACACTTCCTGAAACCATGGAAACTGTTAGGTAACATTTGGGTGTTTTTAAGTTGCTATATTTGTGAGAGTATGTTACACAGCACCAAAAAGGTAAAACAGAAAGGGAAAAAAAAAAAGACTGCATCACACTCAAGGTTAAATTTTGTTTCCAAATTTCATCTGCATTAATTTTATTATAAGAGATATCCAATAATCTGGGCCCATGCACTTCTGGCACAGAGCAGATTCGGGGTTGGTAAAACGTTATAGACCTCTCAGCCTGACCCACCCAGGTCCCATAAAGTATCACTAAGGGTGCAAAAATTATATAATTTTTAAAATACTTTCCACAATCCTGATTTGCTGCAAAGATTCTTCTCTCCTCAAAGATTTAACCTTCTCATTTTACTTAGGTTCATAGTTTAAGACAGCTCTTAAGTACCTCCTTCAAGACTTGCTCTCTACTAATTACATACACCGTTTTGACAATTTCTAGACAGTGACCAATCCAAACCACTAGTAAAATGGTACTGTATGTACCTTATAAATAGAACTGTAGGTCTCACAATTTTCAAAAAAGATGACTTGTGACTGAGCTCTTTAGTTTACTTATTAAATAGCTTACTGCTGAGTCATTCAATTACATCTCTACCAGGAATTATACTAGATGCTATGAATACTATGGGGAAAAGAGTCTTTGCCCTCAAAGACCTCTAGTGTTGGGGGGTACAATTGTAGGGCACTAAATGAGGGCAGTGAGTGCAACTCTACTCTGCACCCATTAAGTCACCATGAGCTGGGACTGGTTCAATAGCAACTAACCTAGTTAAAGAAGCGGAAGAAAGTAAAGTTTTCAGATGCTTATAAAAAGGAACATGAAAAAATGTTAAGAGTTGGAGGACCGGGTGAGACTTATGTATGAAGACCTTTATTTGTTTACTCCAAAATTGTGTTAGTTTATTAAATAAATTGAAGATTAACTTGATCTCTTCCAAATAAACAATGTCTTAGAGGTTGTTTAGTAAATATATGTGGAATGAATGAACTACAAGCTCCAGAGTTTACAATATGTTTACCCTCTCCAAAGAAAAGGAAAGCAAGTTAAATAAGTCAAAGTAGAGTAAAAAACTGATGTTATATGTATGCTTAATGGGAAATAATCAGTCAACTTAAGATCCTATGCCAACAGACACAAATAGAATACACTGGAAATAGAAGGCAAAAGATAGAACAGACTTTAAACTGAAAAGAAAACATAAGAAGATAATTAAACCATCTTTCTAAATTGACCAAGTATAAATGTCCACAGATATTCACAATTAGAGTCTGGCTATCTGACACAGATTAATGCTTCGTCTGATGCTATTATTCTACCACTCTACACTATGATGCTGAGTCTCATGTATCAAGCGTGGAAGAACCACAGAGATCATTTAAGCCCAACAAAAGGGGAGCTGAGGCCCCACTGTTGCTTTGTGGAAGTTTATTCATTATCATCAACCTGAAAGCACCAATCCACGGAGAAATAGTCCTATAGAAAATTAGTGCAATTAACTTAAAACTGACTTCCGTAAAAGAGAGGAAAGAACTAGGGGGCAAAGGACATTTATAGGTCTAAAACAGGCATGTACATATGTAAATATATTATATATAACGAGAGGGAAATAGATCTATGTACATATATTTATGTTGTTAAGGTAGCAGATGGACATTGGGCCTCAACTCAAGCACTCCTATGCAAGAACAGTTTTTCTAACAGTCCAGCATTCTGTGATGCTCAACTTCCTGACATGATTGCTGAAGACAAAATGGGTGCATAAGCAAATGTGATCAAGAAAGCTGATGGTGCCCCGCTATCAAAAGATGGTGCCTGAAGTGGCATCATCTCCCAGTTCAAAACCCAGTTTAATAATAATCTTTTGATGTTGCACGTTTCCAAAATTCATCTGGCACCTGTATTTAGTCTTGTATTGTTACCAGGCAAAGAAGTCCTATTTCTTCAGGCTATAGTGTTTAAAAACGGGTACAATCTTACTTTGATGCCAAATGCCTCTAGATCTTAGAAAATTCTGATTTCATGAAAATTGTACGAAACTATTTTTACTTTTAAATGGAAAGCGTTACAAGAGATGTTTGCTATTTTAAGGGGCATTTGGTAAACTTGATTACTATAGTGCCTGCAAGTTAACACACGACTGTGAATAAAAAGTTGAATAGACAGGTAGCCCTTATATCCACTGGCAGGACCCCCTGCTGGCATCAACAGTCTGCACTGGGGAACCACACACAAAGCAGCAGTGCTTAAGTTTGCTGAAATCACCATTATTAGATGTCCAAAGATACTGACAAAAGGCCTTTGACATCAAAATAGGATGAACTCACTTCTGAGATAGAGAACCAGAGCTTAACAAGAGCCCCAGGTGATTCTTAAGAATCTTGCCAAAATGTAGGCTCTGGTTCAGTACAGCTGGGGTGGAAAGGCAAAGTCTCAGCAAGGGGAGACTCCTAAATCGGGTACTACCTGATACTTCAATTTCCACACCTTACGCCCACCATTTAGGAATCAAAAATGAAAAGGGAAGTATTGGGTTTTTGTTTAAGGTAGAATAATTACATACTCTACTTTTCCCTGGGCAAAAAACCACACATCTTCCCAGTCGCATTTCCCCCCCCCCAACATCCATTAATGGATGCGGTGTTCCTTACAAACCTTACACACAGAAGCAAAACCTTGATTCTCTTTGGCTCACATTAACCCCAAAAACTCTGAGTTCAAAAACCAACCTCTCTCATTGTTCGGCCCTGAAAGGAAGGATTTCCATTCCCTAAGAATAAAACGCAGTCCACCTAGAAGGCCGCGACAGCTGAAGGACCCTTCCGATCGGGTTCCGCGTTCTCATGGGTGACATCATTTCACCTGCGCCTCGGAAGAAAAGGAGGGAGCCATAGAACTAGGCTATCTGCCAGGGGCCGGTGGCAGGCCGGCGGCTCCTGCTGGTCACAGCCGCATCTCCTCGCCGCCCCTGAACAAAGAGGGCCCGGTGCCCGAGCTCCCCACCAAGCACCAGGCAAGCAATCCTCCTCCGCCCAGTTGCCGGGCCCAACTCCACATGGGAACCAACGGCCACCGGGGCCAGTACCTGCGAGGGGAGGCTGCGCCCTGCGCAGCTGCTCCCGCGGCTCCGTACTGGGCCACCGCCTCCTATTGTGACCGCTAGCCCCGCCAGCCGCCAGATCCGCTGTCCCCGGGCCTCCTCACCCCCGAAGCACGGACTGCGGCGGAGGCACTGTCACGGCGCTTCCTTCCTCCCGGCACCATTACACGGGCCGCGCCAGGAAACGACGCAGCACGGCCAGGCCTGACCGAGCCAGCTAACGCGTCGGGGGCCTCATCTCGGGCCGCAGGCCCCAACTGCCCGTGCCTCGACTCCGTCCCGTCCCCCCACCGCACGAGGGGGCGCCCCGCCCCGCGCGCCCCCGCGGCCGAGTCTCGGGCCGGGCCTCGCCGCGCGCCGGCGCACTACCTTCCGCTGCGCGCGCAGTCGACGCCCCTCGCCGCTGGAAGCGCCAGCACACGCCCCGGCCACTTCGGGGCTCCGCAAAGCCGCCCCGCCCCCTCCGCCGGGCCCCCTTTGTTTTCACCCCGCTGGGGAGGAGGCGCGCCTTTTCGGGCTAGTTCCGGCTGCCGAGCCAGTCGCGCAGCGCCACCGCGCAGCCCCGGCCAACAAGGCCGCGACTCGGCCGAGGCCCACGACGTGGAGTCCTAGTTGGTCTTCTCTCCCTAAGTTACAGCGACTGCTTTGTACTTCCCGCCTCCAAACGCCAGTAAACAAACTAACCTCCCTTACTTCTCACTTGGTAATGTGTGGCCCAAGAGGTAGCAATTGTTATTGATGGGGAGAAGATTAAGGAGACCTGGTGACGCTGAGGTCGCTAGTCTACCAGCTACTCCACCGGCGAAAAATGAAGCCGCTGTCCCCAGGATCTACGGCCCCAGAAACGATGCAGGGCTGCTAAGTTTGAACCCACTCCATGGCAGTGGGCTATTTTTGGTGTTTCGAGATATTAGTCAAAGATTTAGCAAAACAGCAAGCAGGTACCTGGACCCCAAGTTGTGCATGGTTGGACTGCTAACCTCAAAGTCAGCAGTTCGAAAACACTAACGTCTCCACGGGAAAAGACGGGCTTTTTACTCCATTAAAGCGTCTCGGAAACTCTCGGGCAGAGATCTACACTGCCCTACGGGGTCACTAAATCGGAATCGACTAAATGGCAGTAGGTACAAATAGTAAAAAGGCTTAATGCATGCGGTGCAGGCAATGAGATCGGGCTCTCCTGAGCTCAAACTGTTAACTAAAGAAGACCTTCCACAATACCACAGCAAGTAGTAGGAAGAGACACAAGTAGAACCGCAGGGCAGAAGGGCTGGGAGTGGGGGTGCATTATGGAAGAGCTGGCATTCTTTTAAGCAGACAGGAATTAGATAATGGATTCAACTCTATGGCTGTGTGTTGGTGTGACAAAGCAAAAATATTAAAGAGCAGTGGGCAGAAAACTAATTGGTGTGTTGTTGGGTTTTTTTGGGGGGGGGGCGTGTTCTTACAACTCTTCTAACAATCCATACATCAATTGTATCCAACATATGTTGCCATCATTATTTTCGAGATGTTTACTGCTAATCTCCTTCCTTCTGTGGGCCTTAAACTGCCAAGGTAGAAAAAGAGGAACAAATGAAAAGAGTGTTGCAGGGCCCATATGGTAATTATTTATATACGTCTGTGGTACCCACAGACTGGGCACTTGGACTCAGTTTAGACTGCAACCAGAAGACCAAAACCTAATGCCTGACACCCAACAGCATGTGCTTCATCCACGCTCCAGCAATAACATCACAGGGTTTATGCTCTCTGGATTAAGTGAAACTGCAATGAGCTAACATAGCCCCTGTGGACATGTCCTGTCTCCTAGCGCTACGCTCCCATTATGTAGCCCAGACTGCCAGTCTTCCAAAGTACCCAGTTTAGAGAATTACATTTAAATGTCATGAAATGAATTGAAAATAACATTTCATGAAACAGAGTCAAAAGCCACAAGCACACTTTCAGGTGCAACAAATGTAATGCATTTCCAATATCACAATCCTTGCTCTGCTGCCGTGACTTCACACAGCATGACAGATTCTCCGTCAGAATGTCAGTTGAACAAGCTTCCATACACCCATCACAGGGGAGGGAATCCTTGGGAGTTGTCTGATCCTAAGTCAAGATTTTCCAAGTGCCAAATCTTGGGAGTATGATCTATTACAGTCCCTCATGGTTCCCTACTCATAAGCTTATGCGAAATCTAGGTTTCAGCCACCCCCTGGGGAACAAAATCCTAAGAATCTTTCTCAAATGGTTAAGACTCGGCTATTTGGGCTCTGAAATCTTTATCCAGGAAGTCTAAGTATAAACTGCTGTGATAACCTCTAGGTTGGATAGTGTGAAAACCTATGCTGCGGGTTCGGTTCCGTAATTTCCTAACAGGAAATTTGGTGCCCTCTCAATATACACCTGAGGGGATAGGCTATAAGGTAGGCTACTGCGTCCCAGACGGACCTCCTTACCCCTGGAACACATAATAGTGCAGTTAGAGCCCAGGCGAACTACCAATTCCTATTTGGAGTTCCTACATATAGGTAGGAAGCTTTGTTGGGAAATGGTCAATAGAACTTTCATCAGTAATGGGCATGCTTTACATCTGTACCATCTATCCACCAACTACATGTGGCTACTCAGCACTAGAAATGTGTCTACTGCAAAAAAAAAAAAGAAATGTGTCTACTGCAACTAATAACATAATCAGATTCAACAACCAACCACATGTAGCTGGTGACTATCACAGCACTTGTACGAAAAATTAGTTGCTTATAGAGAGATTTTCAAGAACTCTGATTCCTTGGCTACCCTCTAAATATGGCTTTCATAAAGAGTGGAAACTGGAAGAAGTTATTAAAATAAAAACTTATCAATTCTACAGGTGTTAGGCAGTTATTCACCGGGATTATTTATGCTAAAGCCCTGTCATCATAATACATGGGAAGAAGGGCAAATCTTCCTGAGCACCCTCACTGCACAAAATTCAACCACATGGAGTTTTAGAACTTAGGAAACTAATCATCAACTGAACCAATCTAAATCTGCTTCTCTTGCGATCTAAACCTCCTCCTCTCCTGCCTCTTTTCACGGCTGTGACTCCACCAATTCTTCCTCTTTCTTTGTGCTACCCTTTCTCTCTCTGGATCATTAACGGCATACAAACACAACTCTAACCACCTTTAATTCTCTTCCGCTAGGTAATGTTTTGGTGGTGTTCTTAAATCTTTTATTTAAGAAATCTGTATACTTAGATCATAAAGATATTCTCCCATAATCTTTGCTTAGATTTTTTATTATTTTCTTTCAGATTTAGACCTACAGACAGTTCTGGGTAAGGCGAGATACAAGTTTCCTTTTTTTCAAATGGTCCTCCACTGACCCGGCATCATATATATGTCCCCCACTGCTCCTTGTTAAAGCCAAGTGCCCACACACACATGGGTCTGTGTCCAGGTTCAGTGTCTGCAGTCACTGATCTCTATTATCCTGTCATCGTAATTCTGTCAGCGTTATAAGACCTTATCAAGTAAAGTGTTTTGTTTTGCTTCTTTCCTCTCATTTCAAAAGTACATCCGCATTCTAAACCACTTTGAGCTTCCGTGCGAATTTTAGCATCAGATTCTCTGTAGCTAGCAAAAACAAGCATAAACAGAAATCTCTGGAATATCACTTGGGGCTGCACTGCATAAAGGGATGACCTGGGAATGGCCTTGAGCCCTGGTGGCACATGATTAAATATACAACTGCTAACCCCAGACGGTCAGCAATCTAAACCCTCCCACAGCTCTGGGGAGAATGATGGGGAAAATCCGCTACTTTCAAGAGTTACAGCCTTGGAAAGCCTGTGGGGCAATTACACGCCATCATATAGGTCATCAATTTGATGACATCGGCTTTGAGATTTTTTGAGTACTGATATCTTTACAATCTTAATTTTCAATCTATGAACAAAATATAACTTTCTATTCACCTGGACCTCAATTTTTCTTCAATGATGTTTCATAGTTTCTTAAAGACTTTACAGTTTTCTTCATAAGCTCATTCTAAGTTTTTCACATTCGGTACGTTCAATTTTTAATGTTAAACTAAATAATATTTAGCTTATCTAAATTTCTTTGGCATTTCTACCCACAGAATCCTGTGAGCAGAAACTACCAACTTTTTTGTGTTGTTTTTTCCTTTCCAACATATATTCATTTTATTTTTCTTTTCTCCCTGTACTGGCTAGGATTCTACAGCACAGTACTAGACACAGTAAGTGGAGGCATCTTTGGATAGATGTTGCCTTCAATATCGGAATAAAGGATTTTTTTTAACACAACTAAATTATGTTCCAATTTACTAATTCTAATGCTATCAGGCAAAATAATAAACCGTTACTTAGATCTTCGGTTGCCCAACCATACCCCATTTAAGAATGAAAGAGGTGTTCATATGCATTTCAGATTTTCAACTGGGATGCAATGAGAAGAAGGAGACACTGGACAATCAAAGTGCCACAAACTGCTCATTTTCAGTTACTCAGATGAGTGACAAAGAGCTATTTAACACAAGAGGGGCAGCTCCACGGGCAGCTGATGTGGCACTTATTTGAGGACAAGCTCTCTAGAAAATTAAACCTGGCTTTCTCAGAAGAGTGCTAAAACATTTGTGTAGTTTAATTACAAGCCAAAAACCTAACCCATTCCCATCGGGTCAATTATAACTCATAGCAACCCTACAGGATAAAGTAGAACTGTCCCATACAGTCTACAAGGCCTTAAATTTATTTTTATGGACGTAGACTGTCAGCACCTTTCGCACATGGAACGGCTAGTGGATTCAAACCTCCAGCCTTTTGGTTAGCAGGTGAGAAATGCCATCAAATCGATTCTGACTCATGCAACCCAAGAGTCTTGTGTATTTTTATGAAAACCTCAAGAGCAGGTAGTGGATTCCAAGTGTGGACTTTGCAGTTTAGCAACCCAACACGTCACCCACGATGCCAAAGGGCTCACAAAGCCCTTTTCCTATTTCCACCTATGGAAATAGGCATAATCTTAGGGCATATACTGTATAAGGGAGACCTCACTGCAGAAACCATCCCCAATCTTGCAAATTTGAAAGGAAC